CATCCATCCATCCATCCACCCACCCATCCATCCATCCATCTATCCACCCATCCATCCATCCATCCATCCATCCACCCATCCACCCACCCACCCACCCATCCACCCATCCATCCATCCATCCATCCACCCATCCACCCACCCACCCATCCACCCATCCATCCACCCACCCATCCATCCACCCATCCATCCATCCATCCATCCATCCACCCATCCACCCACCCACCCATCCATCCATCCACCCATCTATCCACCCATCCACCTACCCACCTATTCTCTGTTTCGACCACTCACCCATCATTTTATTCACCCACTCCACCTTCAGCCTTATCCACACCTCACCTACTCTTCCTCATCTACCCATGTACCAGCTCATCCACCCCTCCCACCACGATCCTTTGAGCACCCCTCATCCACTAGGACTTCTGGTGGCGGCAGGGATACAAGACTATCTCAGATGTTAATCAGCAAGTCACCACTGTGTATTTTCCAGATAAACATCTGGAAGGAGAATTCTGGAGCTCAGGGATCCCATAGGACCTGGAGAGCTTTGTTGAGGGACTGTTGGTGATACCCAGGAGGAAGAGAGTTCTGGGTAAAGTGAGAGCGCGTGAAGCTGGCTTGCCTAGGGACTGGTGAAGGACACAGGGCCGAGGAGTGCTGGAGAAAGCTGCTGGGCTTCTTAAGTCATGAAGGTTTCCAGTGAAAAGAAGCACTATGGCGGGAAGAGTTCATTGATAGGACAAGGACATCTGAGGACCTGGAAGAGGAAGTGTAGTTAGGCTCAGGGACCGGGTCAAGGAGGGGTCTAGATGAGCTTCACTTATGAATCCATCCATACCCTCTGCCTTCCCGCCGTCCAACACCCATCCTCTCCAGTCCTTGTGTCTGATGCTGCTCTGGACATGTCTGAGTGAGGGACTCCAGATCTCATTGTACACGTTAGGAGATGGATGCTGGGAGAGCAGGTGACTTGCCAAAGGCCCCCCCTTCCATGGTGAGGGGTGGGAAGGATGGCAGAGCTGCCGGGCCCCATCATCTCCCTGATCCCTGAGCCAGAGGAGTCTAGAGTGCCTGGGTATGAGATGAGCAGGGATCAGGAAGCCCACATGCGTAGCTCTGGGGGAATTATATCTACAGCCTGACCTTTCACACTATCAACTACTCAACTAACAAACATTTGCCCTGAGGGCTCTTAGGATGGGTGTAGGAGAGTTCTGAGTTCAAATTCTGGGTTTGTCTTCCTCTGAAGTGTCTATAAGCCTGTCACACAGAGACAGGAGATCCAGCTTTCTGTAGGCCTGCCAAGCGCTGCACATGTCTGGAAGTGAATAGGCTATGGACAAGGAGCAGTCAGGCCCTTCTGCCCACAGCCCACCATTCTGAGTGTCCCTGCTAGAGCTGTGTGCTCACAGGATTGGCACTGAGTCTTGAGCATTGAGTCTTAATTCTATAGTATTGCATTAAATTTTATGTTTATGTCTGCACTCAAGGTGGGTGCTAGAAACTGAACCTGGATCCTCCCAGAGCAAAATTCTCTTAAGCACTGAGCCATCTGTTCAGTCTGAGATAGGAGCAGAATGCCTCACAGACCTCTGGGAAATACCCCTCCCACTGGCCTGGGGGCAAGGGTCACACAGCAGGAGGTGGCACGACTCAGGACTGCAGGAAGAAGCTGGATCGATATACCTCCTAATCTTGGCGCTCTGTGTGGCAAGAACAGAACCTGAGTCCAGGATAGGAGGGGTTTGGCCCTGTCTGCCTCTGCCAATGTGTCTGCTCAGCTCAGAAAGCGGCAGACGGTTTTGTTGATCAAAAGGCTCCTGTCTGCCATCTGGCAGCTAGAAGGGCCAGGCTTCCTCCCTGCAGGGTGGGGTCCACGGGGGCCAAGAGGGTGGGTTTGGGGATCTACTTCCAGATACCTTTCCCTATGGGCCTTTGTTTCTAAGCTTCCAGGTATAATGCTGCAGGAGCCAGCCTCTGGGGTTCATTGCTGCTTGAGTCAGGACACTTGGCTAAGATGCTTGCTCACTTATAGGAGTTCAGAGAGGCTGGGACGCTTACCTGACATCACACAGAGGGGAGTATGGATAGCCACAGGCCAGCTGAGCAAGCCCAAGGCAGCTTGGTTCCTGGGGGCTGTGATCCTGTAGCTACCCTTGGTTTGAGCCCTGGCCTTACCATGCTAGGCCTCTTCTGCCATGGCCGACAGATGGCAATTTCTTCCATTGCCCTCTAGATTTCCTGTTACAGGATTTTTGTTTGTTTCTTTCTTTTGTTTTTGTTTTGTTTGAGACAGTCTCACTATGTAGCCTTGGCTGCCCTAGAACTTACTATGTAGAGCAGACTAGCCTCACACAGAGCTCTGCCTGCCTGTGTTCCTCTCCTTGCTCCAAATGCTGGAATTAAAGGTGTGTGTCAGCACTCCAGGACTGTTATAGTTTGTCATGGAGAACCACATGCCTGTATTGCCACTCGCCTGTGTGTTGTTCCATGGCTACCTGTCTCATTGGTCACCAGAATGACCACCAGACTGTTCCCAGCATCTGAGTCATTTGGTCATAGATGGGTACCAGATAAATGTAGGCCCATGGAAGGTGCATTCCGTCAAGGACCTGATGCTGAGCTGTGGAAACCCAGCTAACAGTGATCAGGTCTTTCTCTGGGTGGGTTCTTCTAGAGAGAAACTGTCACCCCATCTACAAATGCTGAGGATGCTGGGTGCCATGGGAGCCAGAGATGGAGAAGGTCGTGTAGAGGCTGACAGGACTCAGTTCCAGTTCCAATCATTACAATTATTATTATTGGTTGAAGATCAGCTGAAGGGGCCTGTTGTGCTCCCCAGAGCTGAGGAGCAAGGCCCGGACTGGAAGTGGTACAGCCTGACTCAGCTGGATCCAGTGCCACAAGCCCCGCCCCTCAACTCCCCAACCAGACTGTATTCTACTCAGTCTAGCATCCGGAGGCCTGGATCAGTAGTCTGGGTCCTGCTCAGGACCACAGGCTATACAAGTTGGTATTAGGAGACTCCGTCAAGAACCCAAGATCGGCCTCACGAGCTAGGCCCGCCCCTCACCCTCACAGAACTCTTTCTCTGTACTAAGAGGCCACGCCCCACCCACCCTATACCAGGCAGGTGGTTCAGTGCTACCCAAGGCCGGAACAATGAAGTCCAGCCACTCTTGCCAGCTCCGCCCCTTTCTCAGGCCCCACCCTATTTACCAGTAGCTCCGCCCACCCCCACCTTGAACCAGGAGGCTATCTCCTAGGCCCCGCTCCGCATGTAGACCCCGCCCTATTCATATTGGGGCCCCGCCCCCATTCCCCGCCAGTTCCGGGAGGCCCCGCCCCATGCGGGTTGCGAGGACGCGGGCGCGCGGCCGCTTTCGGAAGAATACGGCTTGGTGGGCGGTTTCCCGCGCCGAGCGCAGAGCTGGCCACTGAGCTGCCTCCTCGCTCGCAGCTGCGCCGGCCGTAGTCGAGCTCCGCGTTCCGGTGTCGCCGCAGCCCGCGGGGCAGGTGAGCCCAGTGCGCTCCGCGTGCCCATACCCTGCGCACAGGGAGTCGGGGGCGCGGTCAGTTAGCTGCGCCGAGCCCAGGGCTGCCGCCGCCTCCCCCAACGCAAAGCGCAGCAGCTGGGTACCGAAGCCACAGGTGGGTGGCAGCCGGGGGCGGGGCCGGGATGCTCAGGCCTGTGGTTCCCGGGGGGTACCCCGACTCCTTGAGGTAGTGGGTGGGTGCGCAGGATACAGGCCGGGCCCAGCTCGCGTGGGAGACTGACCCTCCTCAGGGCGCCCCAAGTGCTTAGCGTGACCCTACACTACGCTGGCTTCCACCCTGACAGGTGGTAACTCCTGAACCAGGTGTCAACCCCATGGGGCCCTGGCAGATGACTCCTTTATACAGTACCACCCCCTGACATCCCTGACAGTCGGTTGACAGCTGGGCATAGATGCCAACCTCTTGATAACCCTAACAGATGACCCTTTAACACAAGTCCCACCCTCTGACAGCCCTGACAGGTGACCTTTGAGCACAAGTGTCACCTCTGACCCCTGTTTCTTTTCCCAGACTCCCTGGTCTCTTGCCTGTTGCCCTCATGAGAAAAACCAACATGTGGTTCTTGGAACGACTTCGGGGGTCTGGGGAGAATGGTGCCAGCCGCGGGGTGGGTGGTGAGGCTGGGGACAAGGCCTCCAAGGGCCCTTTGTATAGCAACGTGCTGACTCCGGACAAGATCCCCGACTTCTTCATCCCGCCCAAACTGCCCTCAGGCCCCACAGAGGCTGAGGGACAGGCTGACCTGGGCCCCTCCACCTCAGAGCAAAACCTGGCTTCACCTGGGCCCCGTCGAGCACCTCGCAGTCCCCGGCTGCCGGTCAAGTTGGCCTCAGAGAGCAGGAGCCTGCTGAAGGCAGCTACACGGCACGTGATTCAGATAGAGAGTGCGGAGGACTGGACAGCCGAGGAAGCCACCAACGCTGACCCCCAGGCACAGGGTGCCATGTCATTGCCCTCTGTGCCCAAGGCTCAGACATCCTATGGCTTTGCCACACTGGCCGAGAGCCCCCACACCAGACGCAAGGAGTCCCTTTTCCACAGTGAACACGGGGCCCTGGCTCAAGTCGGATCCCCTGGTGCTGGCCGCCGACGAGCAGGGGCCAAGGCCAATGGAGGTGATGGGGGATCCCGGGAGGTTGGGGGAGCCCTGATGAGCCCTAGCCGCTACTTCAGTGGCGGGGAAAGTGACACAGGGTCCTCTGCTGAGTCGTCCCCCTTCGGGTCCCCTCTGCTGTCTCGCTCTGTATCGCTGCTCAAGGGCTTTGCTCAGGACAGCCAGGCCAAAGTGAGCCAGCTGAAACAGTCGGTAGGTCGCCATGGCTCCCTGTCTGCGGATGACAGCACACCAGACACCAGCCCAGGTGTCCGTCGCCGCTTGACCCGCAGGGCTACTCCGGAGCCAGGCCCCGAGTCTGGCCAGGCACCACGTGGAGAGCACACAGTACGGATGGGCACCAGGGGCAGCGTGAGGCTGCTGGCCGAGTACGAGGCTGCTCAGGCCCGCCTGCGTGTGCGCCTGCTGGCGGCTGAGGGCCTGTATGACCGGCCGTGTGATGCCCGGAGCATCAATTGCTGTGTGGGGCTGTGCCTGGTGCCCGGGAAGCTGCAGAAGCAGCGGAGCACCATCATCAAAAACAGCCGCCACCCCATCTTCAACGAGGACTTCTTCTTTGACGGCCTGGGACCAGCCAGTGTGCGTAAGCTGGCCCTCAGAATCAAGGTTGTCAATAAGGGTAGCAGCCTCAAGCGAGATACGCTCCTTGGGGAGGAGGAACTGCCGCTGACCTCCCTGTTGCCCTTTCTGTGAGGTCACTGGTTCCTCCCCCTCTATCCTTAGCTGAGCGGGCGGGCGGGGGTGGGCGGGGCCTGTGGCCCTGCGTTCCCTGGATCTCTTAGTGGACTGCTCTTTTCTTAGAAGAAGATGGGCTGCAGGGGCTAACACTGCCCTGCTGACCGGAACTCCTCCCCACTCCACCTTGACCCATCCACATAGAGTTGTGGGGTTCGTAGCAGTCCCAGGATCCCGGTACCTAAAGCGGCTGGGACTCAGAGTAGAGTTCCCTGAGTATGGAACTTGGGTTTTTTGTTTTTCGTTTTCCTTCACTGCACGCGGGTGTTTTTCCACAGTCTGGTTGCTCAGACGCTCTGAGAACTTCTTTGTGACATCCCCCAGTCTTTGGGAGGTCATCCTCCCTGTCCAGGCTGGCTCCAGGTAGGTCTAGCCTCCCAAGTTCTGGCGCTGATGTTCCATCCAGAACCACAGGAGGGCTTGGCCTTCAGCCTGAGCTGGGGAAAAGAAAGCTAGAGTGCTGAGAGTCGAGGGAGGCGGTGACTCTCGGCTGATGGCTCTTTGGCACAGGCTTCCCTTCACTCCTGCCGATCAGCCAGAGCCATCGTAACCCCGGAGCTTCTGCCTCAGGCCTGTGGCTCTCTCCCCATCCTGCAAGCTACAAACCACCTTCCCAGGGTGCCCTTGGCAAGTGCTCTCTGCTCCAGAGTGTAAATAGGCTATAGCTGTGGTGGGTGGGTTGTGTGTGTGTCTGTGTGGTGTTTGTGTTTGTGTGTGCATGCACACACCTGTGTGCACTTGTTGGGGGGGGGTGGGGCTCTGGGTTGTGTATGTGTGTTTTTCCTGCATAGGAAATCCTCATGGGGTGAGATGCATGGGTCCTTGAATGGCTACTGTGTTTTGTACCAACTCTAAGGCTCAGAATAGAATGGACTACCTGTTGGATAATGGTGGACCAGGGAGGGTCCAGCGTCCCTTTGTCTTTTGCTATCTCCTCAAACTCCAAAAGCCCTTGTCCCTCTAGAAAAGGATTTCAGGGTTGATTGCTTGGACCCTTGAGGCGAGCCAAGCACCTTGGAGTTGAGCCACCCCCCACCCCCGGGCCTGGTCCCCATTTTCTGTGAAACTAGGGCACATCTGGGATCTGGGCTGGTCAGTTGGAGTGGTGGGCAGAGGGTCCTAGGGTCTCCTGCTGTTTTCTGCCTCCCATCCTCTCTATGCTCTGTGGGGCCCTGTTTTCTACACCCTGCACTGTTTGATATCTGTTTGCAGTTGACTGTATGTGAATCTTTTAAGACGCCTCCCCCAAATGTGTTTGTTTATAATGCTGTTTTTAGTGCAGTAAAGGTGTTTGGGGAGTGCGGGGGTGCAGGCCTGCTTGATTTGTGTTTAATAACAACAAGAGTTTCACTGTGGATGGCTGGCAGGGTGGGGGAGCCCGGGGTGAGGAAGACCTTTCGCACACTCCCACTCTCTGCTGCTTGGAGCTGTACAGAAGATAGAAGAGGTAGGGAGACCCTAGCCGTTGTGATGGGGACTCACAGGTCCCAGTGCTGGGTTCTGTCCTCAGTCTCCATTTATACAACTTAGTCTGTCTTCACAACAGTCCACAGAGTGGACACTGTGGATATCCCACAAGGTGCTGAAGGCCTGTGGACTCTGTGGAGAGTCCAGCTATCTGGTGGAGGTTGGGAGGGAGGCAAGCTGTGCAGTCCCCAGAGAGCTAGCTCCAGTTTCTTTCTATTTGCCTACTTGTAGTCTCTTTAGGTACTGCCAGTTGCCTAAACCAGGAACTAGCCTGGACCTGTCTGGCTCAGTGAGACAGAAGACAGATTTAGAGGCTGCTGCCTAGGTAGGTAGGCACTTTATAATGTAACTAATTTGATATTATTTGAAATTTACTGCAATTACAAAGCAGTTCTGTAACTTTATTTTTTTCAAAGCTGACTATTAATGATGGTTCTTAAGCGCTTTAATCTCCCTGCTAGCCCACCACCCACCTAGGAGTAACACTACAGAAACCCTGTAGGGCCTTTTAGCTGGAGCAGGGTTTTCTCTGCAGTAAGTCACTGTGTGGGAATGATTCTGACACGGGAGTTGGGACATCTCGTCGCTGGGGTCACCATTCCCATGCACACGTGGTCAGCATAGCTGGGTGCAGATGCCTTAGATGGGAGGACTGGAGGTGGAAGGTCTCACTGCCCCTCGTCACCTTGGGGCCACTCTGTCAACGTGGGCTCCTAACCTCTGTCCCATGGGTGGGTTGGACCAATGCTAAGGGGGAGACCTCCCGTGCTGTGACACCTGTGGTCTTCTGACAGTCTGGGCATGGGAAACAGTAACGGAGGGAAGAAATTGGGACTATGTGGGAAGGGCTGGGCTGGGCTGGCCATGTCCATGGCTACAGGAGAGAAGTGAGCAGAACCCAGGCTGGCTGCCCTGGTGACTGGAGGTTCAGGGCTATGGACTGACAGGTCTCCTAGGCCCCAGGACAGGGCACAGCCCCTGCTGCCCACCCGGTGCCCTGTGGCCTCACTGGTCCCCATCAAGGACCCCACATTGCTTTGACCCCAGGACAGGACTGTGTCCCTCTCTGCCCCAGGGCACATCAGGTCCTCCTGTTGCCACTGGGATCCCCCTGATCCCCCCTTCTGGCTCAGGATCCCAGCAGCCCTTCCTGCCAGTGGCCAGATGGGCAGCGCCACTGAGGCTGAGGCCCTGGGATGTGTTGTCAGGGCAACTAGCCTGGGCCACATTCATGCCATTCCAGAGCTGATGTCATCTCTTGGAAGCAAGTGTTTTGTGTGTCTCACCAACACCCTGTGTGCCTCTGAACACATCTCTGTCTTGGTTTTTATACTTTTTTGCGTGTGTTTACCTGTGTCTATATGTAATGTATGTGTGCCCTTTTATGCCATGTTTACCCTGTGTCTTTGTATCTGGCTGTGGCTTCCCTGGGCCAAAGCACAGAGCCTGCATCATGATTTCCAATGCTATTGCTGTATCTGAAGCTGAGAGCCCCTTTCAGCCTGGTCCCTCCTTCCTCCCCTCTCTCACCTCATACTGCCTGTGAGGACACCTGAGGAAGCACAGACTGTGTCTGACATTGCCTGTTCACATGAGTCCCAGGAGAACTTCTCTCTGCCTTGCAACAGCCAGGGGACTCAGGTGGCAAGGTCTGTGGAGATGGCAGAGGCAGGCATGAGTGTCAGCATGCACCCTGCAAATGTGGCTTCCATCTGAACTGTCTTCCCTTGAAGATGCAGTGGGCAGCTGGGTGCTCATACGCAGATGCCTCTTAGGGGGTTCACTCACAGGCGATTCACCTTCCTTAGAGGGAACCCGCATAAGGAACGCTGAGCTGAGGGGAGGGTTGCATCCATGTTGGTTGCCTGGGTTCAGCTGTGCCTGCTGGCCATGGCTGGGCATCCTTTCAGCCTGGAAGTCCCCTCTGTGCTCTAGACTGACGGTTTCCATCAAGAATGCTGGGGCAGTAACCTTATGGTTGAGAGGTGAGGTCCTTGTCCTGGGATGCCCCAGGATGAAGCACATAAGGGACATACCTCCAGAAGCCTGGGCAGTGGATACTTGCAGGACATGAGCCTCCTGCCTGCGATCTGTAGAAGACACTGAACCTAGGAAGGGAGTGGAGGAAGGTGGTCTGGGGTGGGGGGCCAAGGAAGGGAGCAGGGAAAGGTGAGACACAGGGATGCCCTTGCTGGCTCTACTCTGCAGCAGTCCATGAACTCTGGAGCCCCACCTGCCCTCCGTAAGCCCACTCACTGATGTGGGGTACTGTGGCTGTTTGAGGGGCCTCCCTTCATCTCCATGCTCAAGCCTCTATTTTCTACTCAACTGTGTGGGGTTCCAGCTGAGCACATGATCAGCCTGGAAAGCCCTGTGTGTGTGTGTGTGTGTGTGTGTGTGTGTGTGGTCACCCTGGGCTCAGTCCTGATGCTCTGCAATGGTAATTAACACAATCATATTAGGTGGTAATTGCAGGTTGTCAAGGCAGAAGCAGCGGCTCCCTGGATGGTAGTCCCCCCTCCTGCTCTAGGTGGGCAGGGCCTCAGCCAGCTCAGCTGACTTTGGGTTTGAAGTGCTGGAGTTAGGGGAGGAAGAGCTGGGGCTGCATGGCAGCGAACACCTAGGTGTTCACAGGGTGTGGTGTGCAAGCTGGCCACTTGTTTACCCACTTTATGATGGTTTGTATAAGCACCTGCCCTCAGGGCTACTGATGGTAGGCCTTGGTTCAGGGCTGCTCTTCATGCAGTGTAGCCTTGGTTTGAATCCTGGCAGGTTGCCCCTTTTCTGTGACTCAGTTTCCTCCCCAGCATCCTGCTGCATCCTACCCTGATGGTGGTGTGGGAGGGGTAGAGACTGACACACAGTGTTCTGCTCACTGGAGTGCTGAGGGGAGAGTCAGTCTCTCCCATTGCCAGAGAGAGGGCTGGGCTGGGCCTGACTCTTGGGAGGGGGTCTGTCAGCTCTACAGGGTGTCTTGGTTGAAGCAGGGAGGGCTTTAGGCCTTAGGGGATTATCCTGGACTGGCCTGTCTCAGAACTCACACGCCACGCCACGCCATGGGAGGGCCCTGATCTACCAAGAAGGCAAGAGTGATATTTTTGTTCCTTTCCAAGCTCTGGATTTTTCATAACCTGAGCTGGGAATAAGCGTCAGACTTGTGAGCTGCTGGCCATGGGATAGAGCTAGCTAGTATTCAGTATGTTAGCCATATGCAGTAAGTGATCAAAGCACCCTGGCTGCACACAGCAAACAGTGCATACAGAAGGTGCTCAGTGCTCATTAGTTAGTGCTCAAATCTGGCTACTAAGTCCATAGAAGCAGGCAGGTCCCGTGGTGACTCATGTCCCAGATGACATCCAGAGCCCTCTCCCAACTTGGGCAGTTTAGAGCAACAGTTAGATGTGTTACGACTCCACAAGACCAGGTAACAACTATCAGGTCCCAAAGAGACCCAGGGCATACAGCTAACTATAGAGCCTATGAGCGTGCCA